GGGCAGACCAGGGGAGAGATGCAGAGACATGGGGGAGATGGGCAGAGACTGTTGGGGAGAAATGGGGCAGAGACCTGTGGGGAGATGGGGCAGAGACGGGGAAGACAGAGACCAGGGGAAGATGGGGAGAGACCAGGGGGTGGGCAGAGACCTGTAGGAGAAGATGGAAGGATGAGAGAGGATGTAAAGACATGGGGAGATGCAGAGCATGTGAAACACGGCAGAGGCCTGCAAGGAAGATGGGAGACACTGTGTAGAAGGACAGAGACCTGTGGAAGTGGGCAGAGATCTGAAAGAAGGGCAGAGACCAGCAGAGACACGTGGATGAGGATGGGCAGAGACTGTGGGGAGATGGGGCAGAAACCTGTGGGGAGCATGGGGCAGAGACACTGGGAGGGGAGATGGGCAGAGACTAAAGACAGAGATAGGCAGGGCAGAGACCAGGGGGAGATGGGGCAGAGACCAGGGAGAAGATGGGAGAGACGGTAGAAGGCAGAGACTGTGAGAGGATGGGAGAGAGACTAGTGAGAGATGGGGGTAGAACTGTCGGGGAGATGGGGTAGAGACGGGGGAGATGGGGTAGAGACTGGGGAGGAGGATGGGGTAGAGACTGGTGGAGAGGATGGGCAGAGACTGGGAAGCAGAGAGGTCAGGGAACATGGGGCAGAGACTCTGGGGGAGGATGGCAGAGACCTGTGGGGAGGACGGAAGACTGTGGGGAAGACGGCACACTGTGGGGAGATGGCAGAGACCTCAGGAGGAGAATGGTGTAAGGACCAAAGATGGGCAGAGACTGTGGGAGGAGGGCAGAGACTGCTGAGAGGGATGGGCAGAGACTGTGGGAAGAATACCAGAGATGGGACAGAGACCAGAGGAGAATGGGAGAGTGTGGGGGACAGAGAGACCAGATGGGAGAGACTGGGGAGATGGGAGAGAGAGAGGATGGCAGAGACGGGGGAGATGGGGAGACATCTGGGGGAGATGGGCAGAGAGGAGGAGATGGGGTAGAGACGGGGAGATGGGCAGAGACCGTGGGGAGATGGGCAGAGACTGCGTGAAGATGGACACTGTAAAGACAGGGGAGACACTGTGGGGGGAGAAGGAGACCTGGGGGAGACAAGAGAGACTAAGATGGGGCAGAGACCAGGGGAGAATGGGGCAGAGACTGTGGGGGAGATGGGCAGAGACAAGATGGGGCAGAGACTGTGGGGAGAAGGAGACTGGGGAGATGGGAAGATGGGCAGAGACAGGTGAAGGGGGCAGACACTGTTGGGGCAGAGACTGTGGGGGAGATGGGAGAGACCAGGAGAAGAAGGCAGAGACTGTGGGGAGATGGGCAGAGACCTGTGGGGAGGGATGGGGCAGAGACCAGGAGAGATGGGTAGAGACCAGAGGGGAGATGGGCAGAGACTGTGGGGGAGATGGGGTAGAGACTGTGAGAGATGGCAGAGACTGTGGGAGAAGAGAACTGTGGGGGAGAGACAAGAGACTGTGAAAGATGGGGCGAGACAGTGGTGAAGCTGGGGCAGACACTGTGGAGTTGGGCAGAGACCTGTGGGGAGATGGACAGGAGAAGAAGGGCAGAGACCAGGGGGAGATGGGGCTGAGACAGGTGGTGAAGGCAGACACTGTGGAAGAACAGAGACCAGAGATGGGGCAGAGACTCAGAGAAGAAGGCAGAGACTGGGGAGATGAAGAGACAGGTAGAAGGCAGACACTGTTGGGCAGACATCAGAGATGGGAGGATGGGGTGAGAAACTGTAGAAGGCAGAGACCAGAGATGGGCAGAGACCTGTGGGGGAGATGCAGAGACCTGTGGGGAGACTGGGGCAGAGACCTGTGGGGAGAAATGGGCTGGAGACCAGGGGGAGATGGGGGAGATGGGCAGAGACCAGGGGGAAGATGGGCAGACAGGTGGTGAAGGGGGAGATGGGAGAAGCAAAGGGGCAGAGACCGGGGGGAGATGGGGAGAGACCAGGAGGATGGGGAGACTGTGGGGGCATGGGGTGTGGGGAGATGGGGAGAGACGGGGAGAGATGCGTAGAGACATGTAAAGATGGGGCAGAGACTGTAGGGAGGATGGGGAGACCTGGAAGAGAGAGAGAGACCTGTGGGTGAGAAAGAGAGAGACTCAGGAGAGGGAGGGGGTAGAGACCAGCAGAGATGGGTAGAGACTGTGAGGAGGATGGGGCAGAGACCTGGAGAAGGCAGAGACTGTGGGGACACATGGGCAGAGACCAGACATGGCAGAGACAGGAGGGAGATGGGCAGAGACTGTGGGGAGACAGAGACCAGGGAGGAGAATGGGGGGCGACAGGGGAGATGGGGAGACGTGTAGGGAGAATGCAGAGACCTGGGGAGATAGAGAGACCATGGAGTAGGATGGGGAGACTGTGGGGGAGGATGGGTAGAGACCAGCCAAGGTGATGACAGAGACTAAACAGAGACTGTAAGGAAGAGATCTGGGGAAAACAGAGACTGTGAAAATGGTAGAGACCAGGGGAGAATGGGGAGAGACTAAGAGATGGGGCAGAGACTGTGGGAGGATGGGGAAGACACTGATGGAGGACGAGAGGAGACACTGTAGACAGGGCAGAGACTCAGAGGAAGACGGGCAGAGGCCTAAGGAAGCTGGGGAGAGACTGTGGAAGCAAGACGGTGAGAAACAAAAAGAAAGAAACAAAGATGGGCAGAGACCAGAAGATGGCAGAGACTGTGGGGAGAAGGGATGACACTCAAAGATGCAGAGACCTGAGGCAGAGACTGTGGTTGGGGAGACACAAGGAGGATGGGGCAGAAACGGGGGAGATGGGAAACCAGAAGATGCAGAGAAGATGGGGTAAAGGCAGAGACTAAAGCAGAGACTGTGAGGGATGGGGTAGAGACCTGGGGGATCAAGGGCAGAGCCTGTAGAGGATGGGGAGACCAGGGGGAAGATGGGGTAGAGACTGTGGGAGACACAGAGACGTAGGGCAGAGACCTGTGGGTGAGACAGAAAATCACAGGATGAGAGACCTGTGCAGAGACGTGTGACCATGGGAAGCTGGGCAGAGACCAAAGACATGTGAAATATAACAGAGACATGTAAAGATGGGGCAGAGACATTGTGAAGATGGGTAGAGACAGAGACGGAAGATCAGAGACTAAAGATGGCAGAGACTGTTGGTGAGAGATGTGAAATGTAAAGATGCAAGGAGACTGTAAAGAGGACAGAGGCCTGTGGGGAAGACAGTAGAGACCAGAGATGGGCACAGACATGTGGGTGAGCATGTGCAGAGACTGTGAGGGAGATGGGCAGAGACTGCGAGGGAGATGGGAGACATCTAGGAAGGCAGAGACTGGGGAAGATGGGGTAGAGACTGTGGGGAAGGGGCAGAGGCCTGTAAAGATGGGCAGACTGTGAAGAGGACAGTAGAAGGAGATGGGTATGGGTGAGAAGATGGGACACTGAGGAGAGACAGAGACATGGGAGAGGATGGGGTAGAGACCTGTAAGGAAGATGGGGAGAGACCAGGGGGACGTGGGGAGACTAAGCTGTAGAGGATGGCTAGAGACATGTGAGGATGGGAGAAACATGGGGGAGAATGGGTAGAGACTCGCGTGAGATGGGTACTGGAGCCAGCTGAAGCAAAACACTG